CACATTACAATAAACGTTACTAATAAGGTGTATTCGAAAGTTTAGAAGTCAGTATAAATGAGATAGACCAGTAATATACTTACATTTGAAAATGTATCATATATGAGACTGAGTAGATTATCAAAAATTGGAACAGATGATAAAATAAAGCTTATTTGGTGATCTGCAAAATGTGGCTTCAGCAAGTCCAAGTTATCTACACTGTCTGAATCCTGAAATGTCTGATATAGAAGGTATTGATTGCTTTATTTCCTGAGGAGTAACTGAGTAATCTATTTGTCCTAAATATTTAAAGTAAGACTAACAAACCTCATGACGATTTCGTTGTATCACTCTTGAGAGTACGGAGATTGCCCATGGGCCTATCAATAAGGCTAGCTGGCTAATCCTGATAATGTAATGGAAGATGAAGTACAATATAATTTATTACGAACGACTGGGACACAAACTTAGTACAATTAGCAATAATCAGCGAAGGACATACCCGCTAAAATTTTTTCTATCTTTATCAAGTTGTAAGCTCATTTGTAACCCATTAATAGTTTGCACTCCAATAGCAGTATATAAATTGGATGATATCTGTGAGATGACATCAAAATTATTCCAAAGTTAACTAATAACCTTCGAGTAAATACTATCATTTAACTTAAACGAACTAGTCGGTAATTGTTGTATTCGAAAACCGCTATCTTGTACAATGTGCATACCTTTTCGCCGCATTGTCTCTCTAATGCTTCACAAATGGTATCGGCAATTACTAGCTGTGAACAGCAATATTATTGTGAGTTACAATAACGTAGATAGCATACTGTATGTAAGCGAAGAAATAACATGGTTATAAATTTTGTAGTTACGAAAATTTTTAACTTACCGCATTCTTTACTATGCTCAGAGGGTCATTTTGTAAGTTATCTTGAGACAACGTTGATTGCTTTGCTGTTGATGCAATGAATAACAGAGCGCACTTGATGCACAGTAGTGGTAGTAAAGCGATATCAGAGATAACATTATCTTCAAGTGCGTGAACGGTTATCAATGATATGCACTTTGATAAAATACTTAATTGATCTTCAATATCATTAAGCCTGTAAAAGAAGGAACGTAAACATTTGTGTCAATTATTATATAATTGACATTAATAATTATAAGTACAACAGTTATGCAACACACTCAGAAGCATTTGTTCCATCATTTAGTCTAAGCGCTTACTACTCTATTGTATTCTTTCAAATGGACGTACCTATTGGATACCAATTCAACAAGTTCATCATCAGCATTGGACAGCAACAGTGGGTCGCCGACGTTGATATTGGTCCCAGTCCCTTTATGCAGCTTAGATAATACCGTATTAAAAATGCTTAAACTCTTACAGTAAGACCATAATAATTCTGGGCCACCACACTGACAAAAAAATGCGATATTTCCCTTCTTTGGCTGTCGATCAAATGAAGGGATATGGAAGGTTGTGTCAACAAAGCCATGAATCATATTTTGATGTAAGCAACTGTATTGTTGTGCATTCGCTTCCATAGCAGTAGTTAAGAACTGCTGCAAAGCTAGATCCCGATCAGCAGTTGCCGCTATTGGAGCTTTATAAGTAGTATCCTGGCGTAAGTATGAATCATCAGGGTATTTAGAGTCTTTAATGGTATACTTTGCATATAAGATGCCCATAATATCGTCTTTGTCTGGTGTTTCCGCTCCATAGCATAATGCGTTGATTATTTCAATTACACGATACTGAGAAATACGATGGAAATTTTACAGTTAATTCATACGAAATGTAGCATTTAAAAATATATTTCTAAGTCTATTTGATAACGCAATATTCCCCAAAAATATCGTAGCTCAATCCAAAAATGAGGCAAACTTCAGAAATCAGATTACAGAATAAATTGAGGCCTACATTGATAGACTACAGCACATCTTGACTGGAGGCAAAAAATAAAATTAACATTGTATCAAGGTGACAAATATTGAACTTACACTTCTAATCAACGAATACTTTTCGGTACATTTTAAAAACTCAATAGAGTACTTGATCAACTTTCGGCATGATAGGATGAAATCGCCATTGACAGGTTTACCTAATACGCGTACATATAGAAAGAGATGGAAATGTCATATTGCCGGTAGTATTCTGTCTGATACGGTGATGTATGTCTATACTGCGCTAGTCTTGCTATGTAGTAAGTATCTCATTTCAATATACAGTACTGTAAGTTTGGCTAACAATGTTGGGAGAATATTATTGTGATTGTACCTGCATCAAGACGTCTCGACAAAATATAGGATGCTAGTACAGCGAAATTGGCAAAGAAATCTTTATTTGCAACGTCATGCTCCCATAATAATGTCCCACTGTAGTTGATAGAAAAATGCAAGAGGGATAGAATAATAATAAATATAAAATGTGAAATGTGCTATGAAAATTGCGGTGCAAGAAGTACGCCAAGTATTCATTTTTTCTCGCTCGAATACTATGAATGTATAACAACTTTCATGACTGTTAGTAGCATTTCCTAACCTTGCATTTAGTGTTGCAACAATAATATCTTCGGACTTGATGGAAGGATCTTCAATCGAATTTACGAAGGAATCAACACATCGCGACCATGATAATTCAGCTTCCCCAGAGGAAGACATCTTTCATTGGTCTGATTATGTCTGGCTTTCGCAGCCGCTAACTTTTAATTTAACGCTGCGGTACGGTAGCTAGAACTATATACAGTGCTATAGGTCATTAGTCATCACGATGACATAGTACAGTACTATAATCCAGATTTACAGTATGTAGACTACAGTCATAGTCTAGTACACAGTGTACAGTACAGTACAGTACAGTACTGTAGTGCATACAGCTCAGTCGGGGACGGGGACGTGACGTGACTACTTTCCTTTCTTGACACCATCGGCGATGTTTCTTACCTCTCTATCAGGCTCTATGGTAGTTTCTACCTGACTCAGCACTACACTGTACCAATTCTTCTGTAGCCCCATAACTATACAGTGTACAGTGTACAGTACAGTACTGACGAGCTAGAAGACTTTGCATTGTAAAAGAAAAAGCTTCAAACCTGATCATTTTGAATACACTATATTGTATACCGTCTCACTCAGTAGTCAAGCGCAGTACTGTAGCCAGACTTCTTTGACAATTAGATAGACAATACCTTTCCCTTCCATCTGTCATTTCTTACGACAACCGTACAATGTACTGTACTGTACAGTCTACTGTACAGTACGTACTGTGTACTGAACGATTCTTCCCTTGGCTGACGGGAGATTCCAGGTTTAACTTTTCAATTTCGTAGATTGCTAAATAATGCAAAGCTGCAGAACTACGTAATGCATTCAATAATGCGTTGATCAATAGTGGTATACAGTATGAACGTGCAGTCCTTATTGATCGTTGTTGTGCGATATATAATTTAATTCATTATTCCAACTCTTCATGTGCAGCTGCTGAAAATTAACAGCACAATTTGCAGACGTAATTTACTGTTGTACATTTTACTGCAGCAGTAATTTCATTCATTTTATTTAGCACGGCAGGCACAAGGGGATGCCAGAAAGGGCTTTTGCAGGTATGATATTTTCCTTCGGTTTGAAGCTCGTCGTGTTACCGTACAGCTAGGGCTTAAACTAACACAGTACAGCATACAATCAAGTTAATTGTATAGTGTAAACTGAAATCTTAAAAAGCAGCTACTCATGCGACAGAGGACGCAGTAGCGCGGCTGTAGTTGCGGACTTCATCTCGTTGATGACTGAGTAGAGTCCATTGCTTGGTACTGTAGTAAACTAATTCATAGTTAAACATCTCAGACATCTGTTCTAGACTCCTCAATGAGCCATCGAGATGCATATTAACTGTAATGAAATAGACAGATGGAATGTAACCTGAGTTGCTTCTTCATAAGTATTTCATTAATAAATCATCTCTTTTCATGACAACTTGTATAATTACAGAGCGATGACAATATAATTATTAATATACGAAATATACTGCCTATATTTGCATTTATTGGGTGAGTAAAAACAGATTAGGTTAATTATTATATCCTTTGCTAGTCTAAGATGATGTAGCACAAGCAATATAGTCGTACGGGTCAATTGTTCTGTGGTACTACTTTCTCATATAAATTAAAAATTAATTTTTGAGGCGAGATTAAGTATACGTTAACGCCATCTTGATCAAGCAATCGCAAACTAATCTGTCTTACAGCATAAACAAGATGGCTGATTCAGGTTTTACAAATAGTAGCAAATAATTTCAATCTGCAATACGGTCTATTACGTGTGCACAGTACTACAGTCTGTACCGAACATGATTTTGCTTTCACGCAGCACTTTTCAATACAGGAAGTATAGATTTAGTAAATAAGTTTGGTCCATATCAACACGAGCATATAATTATACAGTATTCAAAAAATTGAATGTCAATTAGGTGCCACAAAATCTGGCAGCTATTGCGAGGTATTAACACGATGTTTTTAGTTATCAAGAAATCAATTAAAAAATTCCCTTGTCTAGCTTGCTGACTGCAGATGAAATATTCATAAAAGAAATGTCTATATTTAGCACCGGCATATTTCGATAGATATAACTAGTAAATTAATTATGCAAGCTAATGTTTTATATATATATATATAACAGTAAATACGACATTAAATATCAAATTAGAATTCAGTTACCAAAAGCTTCATATTATAATACTTAAGAGTAGACTATTTATGTCCACAATAACTACTTATAAACTGTATAGAATATCGTGAATTAGTTCAATTTAATCTTACGTAACGCCAGATATGAATAGATTGATTAAGTATCAATTTCTATCAAAGCTATCGGCACAGAATTGTTCACGTAGACAAAATGGCATTACAAATCGTTAAATGAGTCATTATAATCACTATTGTAGAGGTGATCCAAGAGCAACGTCATGATTTATTGCTACTACTTCTTTCGGTATTTGTGGTCGATGTTAAACTAGCTATGCTACTATTATCAGATCGTTTGTCTTGCGATTTCAATTCCTTGTAATCGGTTATGATTACAGTAACTGATCCAACGGTAACAGCCATTTGTTGTCCACTGTCCCTATCCACATTTTTTAACCTCGGTCTTTTGATAATTAAAGAAGGATTATAATTATTTAGTTTTACATGCAATAATACATACATATAAAAAACTTAACAATTAAACATATGTTGGCTATCGATTGATTACGATTGCACAATAGAAGGATATAATATTGTAGTATGATACCATATAACTAGACTGGTAGTCCTACAGCAGGAAAGGTGCATAGATAAAGTGTTAAGAACGAATAAACTTTTCAACTGCTATCAATAAATGGTAGGCATTGATTCGAACGACTAATAGTTGAATCTACTAGAAATGGCAATGACTATTATTCTCTACTGCTGCAGTTGTTAGATTTCATACGTTGGAATGTATATAATTTTACGATAATACATGGCTGCACAACGCGAAAATTTAATTAGCTAGTACAATCAATTATTAAAATTCAGGTAAATAGGCAACTGTACTGGATTTGTTTAGTATACGCTCGTATAGTCGAAATTACCGTAACTTCTTAACTTTCTTCGAATGACTATTCGGTTTTCTTGAAGATATAGCATTTATTTGCTGAGCAAGGTGTTGGGCAACTATTTCGGCACTTACTCTGGGCTTGCTGATAAATTGTAAAAATATTGTGATCTCGTCAGCATAAGCTTATTAAACATTGTAATTCGCTTGTACAATGTACAGTTGAACTCCGACATTATCAAAATATTAATGGTTGGTATGTAATAAACCAATATCTGAGAAATGGCATAGTAAGAAGAGTACTGTAGTATTATACTATTATGTGTACTACTCTAACAAACGATAACTACAGTATATCTTATTGTATGATGAAAAACATCAAATGCAAGAGTAAATTGAAATCTCTAGAACGAAATTACGTAAGTTTGTGTATCGTTTGACCCGGAACATGCCATAAACTACATCTATTATTCTATATTTCATGATTCACTACAGCATAACATACAGTATTGTACGCATATTAAAAGTAAAAATAGTGCTCTGATGCACAATTTCCAAGTTAAGATAGATAATTAGGAAAGTTAAATGCTATATACATTAGTTGTCATTTTTATAGTTTGAAATTAATATTCTTCCTACCGAGTAGAAGTGCCTTTTCGAACATCACACATCAAACACTTAAAAGCCGTAGTGATATTTCGATATGTGCAAACAGTGCAATCCCAATAGCTATCTTCGCTACTTGATCGTGATTTCTTACTCCTAAAATAAATCATCCATTATGTGTTATCACCAAATTTCAGAGATACGCTAGCACTCGTTGCTTTTTCACTCTTCAGAAAATTATTGTACGCCTGTTCTATAGTGTTGTCTATCTTTTCAATAATAACATCGAAGAAGAAGTAAACTGCAATCAGTGTTGCATTCCATAGTACACTATCATAATGTAACTATAACTAACAATTTTGAATCTTATGAAAACGTAACGTGAGTCGTATAACTATAAAATAACAGTTGTCGGGCTTTGCTTTTGTATCCTAGCTTTCAGATAATTTTGCATGGGCTTTTGTTTAACAAATGATAAACAACAATTTTGATGATAATCGTCTTTACAAATTGAATTTCAAGAAGCCTAATGAGATTTCTTGAAGATTGCAGCAGACTGCTTTAGTTTGAAGTTATCTTGTCATATAAGAAAAGGAAGTAATGTTATCGAAAAACAGCATTCGGATTGATAAACGCTTACCTCAGTTTCTCCATTTTGTATTGTCGGTTTTGTGCAGCTGAACACTCTTTCTTTACTCGTTTCGGTACGTTACGGCACGGCACAGCACAGTACAGTACACTGTACTTTACAGTACATTGTACTGTACGTACAGTACTACAGGGAGTGGATACTGTAATGTACTGTACATTGTACTGTACTGTACAGTACAGTACTGTGACTGAGCTGTACAGTACTGTACTAGAGTTCTGGACAGGCAATCGGACGTACACTGTACGCAGTACAATAAAAAGTCACACAACTGCGCAACATTAATCGATTGGCAACTCCTGGAACGTTGTCGTTCCAGTCTCTTTGAAGATGTCTATTTCAAGGTAAATTATAATTCAAGCGTAAGTAGATTTTATATCATTACTAATTAAAGAACATTAAATCGCTCTATAAATGTGTTTAAGGTTTTACGTCCTTACTTAGTAGTTTTAAAATAGGGTAGAATATTATTTTGGGGGGAAAATTGGCGCTATACAGTAAGCTCTCGAGAACCGACTGTGAGTACTGTACTTAGGCCTGTTCATGGCTAAAACCAAACCATCAACAGGCCTAACTGTACAGTACTGTAAATCTGTAATAAGACTAGTGGACGGTCTTTGCCCATGATGTACACGTACCGTACTGTACACTATGGCAGCCACAGGCATGTGGTGCCCACTACCCAATGCCTACCAGTGTGCTAAAGCACAATGTCCCATCTCTAGCGTACACTCACAAAATGATGCAAAGAGAACGTGATGGCTAGCAAATCATCATCGAAACTGGGATATCAATTTTAGTTGATAGTCAGTATAGAAAGAAAGTTGAATGCATATGAAGATGCTTCTTGTAATGAAATGTTCTTACTCGACAGTTTGAATAGGATGGTCTTGACAGTATTTTCATCAACTGGAGACGACTTGACTTTGCAAGTACCTAGTGACAGACTTTACTTTGTAATAAATACTAGTAATACGCGTATACAGTAAATTATATTACTTGTGTAATTATAAATTGATTATTTTTTTTTTATTGTAAGAGTAAAGCAAAAACAAACTTGCATTTTATGACCCCATTCTGTTTCAAAATTTTCCTTGCAAATATTACTATGTGCCAACTTACTACGCGTATTGGGTGTCTTACTCATGTAGCATGCAAATTATTCAGTTTCTACTTGGTACGCTAACTGTTCGAACGAGATTTTACTCAGACAGCTATCTTGGCTGTCCATGATCGCACGCGATTAACGTGCAACCACTGAATTCATCATAAGTAGTTTATCACTAGCGGCGCCACTTTTTATGGAAGCAGATATCAAAATCGAAAGGAAGATCGAATATAAACAGGATCCTGTTTACTATCTGTCAGAGTCATGCGTTTTAATTTCTCCAAATAGAGCACAACGTAATGTGTAAATAATATTGTTTGTATATAAAAAGGCAGACAATTTAACGGTACAGTAGGGATTTATAGCTCCATTTCTGTCATCTTTCGTAAATTGGATCATTAAATACTCGAACGCACATAGAATAGAACTAAAGTAAGATAAAAGGGACTTCTATTCAAATACGGATCGTAAAACTTAAGTCACTCGCCTGTTGTCATGATACCTTGCACTGTTTTAACGCCTTTTCGGAAAGCCAAAGAATTCTATCGTAAAAGTTATGCTTTTCTTATATATGTTATAGATAGCCAACGAAGACTTTGTTACCTCAATAGTCAAAAAATTAACGTAAAATGGAATCCGATTGGAGATACAGTGAATATTCTGACTTTAGGGATTACCCACCTCCAGATAATCAAGAAAGGTACAAGCAACTGTTCAATGACGCGTCATGATTATTATCATCTAGTGTCAGCATCAATTAGAAGTAATCAACTAAAATAGGCTTTTACTGTACTTGTACCTACTACGGAGTCAATTCCTTAGTAGAGGTATTTCGGTCATAAATTAATATCTTGATCGCAACTGAGATTGCGTATTTACAGCAGTTGGGAAGATTGAATGATCTATTTTCTAACGAGAATATTCTTCCTTAGATATCGGCGAAATAATGAGGATTTCTACCGTCAACAGGGCCGTCGCTCCCAAGATAAGCAATATTTTAGTAACGAACGTGATAACTATTATTGTGACGAAAGTAACCGACGAAACTATAACGAAAGCAGTCGAGCAAGATCTCCTAGTCCACGATATTATGAAAGAAGATTCGATCGACAACGCCTCAGTCCAAGGGTTTCTCGTTATAGATCGAGGAGCCCGGATTACACTCGTAGGAGAGATAGAAGGCGTTCTCGTAGCCCACCAGATTACAGCAACCGCTCTGACATGGGGTACTCTCGTAGAGATGAGGTAACTACGATATAAAGTGTATAATAAAGCTATTTACCTGAATTACTATCTTGGCGAAAAACTTATTACTTTTGTTTTATTCAAATTGAACATCTCAAGACTTTACTATACTAATTCCTATGGAAAAAATTATACTTTGTCCACGGTACAAGTTATACGCTACTCTTACTTTTTTATTTAGAGAGTCGATAATAAGAGAAGATATACACGGCCTGAATACGACGATAATAGCAAGGATAACAGAAAAGATGAAACAGATAGAGGCAGCTACGATGACGAACGACAATCTAGACGAAATCGGGACGGGAACAATCGCGATCATAGAGAAGAGCCTAATCGTGTAATCGTTATTCGTAATTTAGCGTACAAAGTAGACGAAAAACATGTATGTATTATTTTCTATATAGCGATCCTATCAATGCTTATATTTACTGCTAAATGGTAGTTTCACTGAAGTAGACTAAATTTTCGGTGATATCATTTATCTATAGATTTCCAAGATAATTGAGGACCATTTCGATCAACAGCATGTTCTAAAGGATGTAAGGCTTATCCGCAATAAAGAAACAGGTGCGCCTATTTGTGGAGCGATGATGCATACTGTAGCATAGATTATATTATGAAAATATTTGAAGTACATAATTACGCATACAGCATATCAACTGCTGTATTGTTAGGCTAGCTATGATATAATATTGTCGTGTTTTTATTTGCGCAGGGGAATCTAGAGGATTTGCTTTCGTAGAATTCATCGAATTAAAAAATGCAGTAGCATGGATGGACGACAGTAGGGTAATAAGCCTAACTCTAGTCAAGCTGTCAGCGCAGTTTTCCTTAAATCTCATAAATAATTTGGTGTCAAAATTGGGAAGGACATTGGAAATTCAAAGCATAATTACTTGTATTAACCCGGTTAATTATCTTTACGGTTACGTTAGCGTATGGTAAGAATCCAAGGGCAAAATGCTTATCTCGAATACAGCAAACCCCGAGACTGGACGTGTAGCAAAGTTCGTAAAATGAAGACGAAACTATCATACGATTTAATAACGTCCGCTACTTAGTAGGGCATCGCAGCCCTTAGGTGTTACCGTTAACGAACTACTGGCATCGTATTCTGTCATGTTTTCTGTGTTACGGAAACAAAGCATATGAATAGTAACAAATGTTCACATTGCCTGCACTTTATGTGCATTAACTACGACTGTATAATGTAACATTCTAACACCAATCATACCTGTAAATGTAAATTAGTGTGGCCATTTCAATTTCAAAATAAGAAGAGTTTGCATGATGTGCAAGGCTACTCGACCAGGTAACCCTTAGGTGTAAATAATTATTTTACTTGTATTGATAATCAGCGCTTATGAATGAATTTCTTGTACTGGGATAATTATCTGTGATTCCTTGCCTAATTTACTGAATTTCTTACAGATCTCTAATGATCTTTAAAATTAATGCTTCTCTAGAATTAGAGTCTAGAAGTAATGAGTCTAAATTGGATGGAGGAGATGATGTCAGCAGCAAACCGACAAACGGTAAATTTGCTAACGCAATACTTTAATGAAACTGACAAGTTACTTAAAAGTAATTCATGACTCATCTATGTTTATTATTCAGTTTTGATTGTAAGAGGACTTGATGTTATAACTCGCGAGGAATCGGTAAGTATACATTTGTTTCTTATTTAGTAATTATGCGTTTAACAGCAGTAGTTATATGTACTTATATTTAAGTAGAAAGTAAACTTTCTTTAATATTCCTTTCAATAGGTGCTACAGTCATTAAAGCAGATTGATGCAACACGAGTCGATGGAATTAAAATAATGAAAGACGAACTTACAAATACATCAAGAGGATTTTGTTTTGTAAGATTGCCGTCCATAAAGGTACTTGTAATTACAGTATTTAAACTCGTTTTCAATAATTTAGATAATGCCATTATTTGTGCTACGATTTATAGTGTATTAACTATATAAGTAGTCTCCCTTTATTAATTATGATATTAATTCCTTTATTGCGTAACCTGCAGATAGCAATTGCGATTGCGGAAACTATATCAAAATTGGAGTATCCTTTCAAGATAGATAATAAAGAAGGTACTATTCGAAATCGATTGACAAAATCGGAAAGATGGCATAGCTTTTGTGAAATTTATCCATAGAATGTACACGCATTCGCTATCAGTCGTTAAAGGAACTAATTAATTTATTTTTCCATATACATACTCGTATATTTACGCAAGATAATATTTTACTGTACAGATGTATTTAAAATAAAATATGTATGCAGTGAATTAAGTTGCAATTGCGCTGCGTATGTAGTACGTAGTAATACCTCATTACTAATCATTTGTTTTAATAACGATCAACAACAGTGGTCATATCCTATGGAAGAGCGGATGCCTTTGAATCAACGGCTAAGTAATGTTTGCTATTTTTTAGATAAATCTGTAATTGATTGAATAATATAACACCGCGCTACTGTTCTATTGCAGGAAGAATTTAGCAGCTGCTGCTATTGCTGCAGCTGCGTGGTCTGTAGTAAGTGTCGACCTTGCAGTGATGTAATGCTGTTATATCAATTTTTTGTTCATTATCATTACGATTTGCTTACTAAGACCGCTCAGCCATCCTCATCATCAGCAAGTAATTCGACAGAACAGACTGTGGTACGAAATTGTGATCATAAACTTAACGTTACTGCTACTGTTTATTTACTAATCTAATTTCTTTACTTAGTCATCCGGTAATAAGCAAGAAGCAAGCTCGTACGGTATGCTTATATACATATTGGCTAACGTTTTTTAAAGACTTTAAGCTAAATCAATATTTGAAATCTCAAAATTTTAGAAAGTACGTCGCAGCAAGACACCACAGGTAACTAACCATCGTTAAAAAATAAGTCAACGTTTTCGGAATAACTATGATGATCGTTTCGAATTGTTGTGATTATCAATTGTAGATAATGCCCAGTACACCTATGATGAGAAAACGGGTTATTATTATTATCCATCTACTGGACTTTACTATGACCCAAATTCTCAGGTAATATTGTAAATTTTATAATCTTGAAATTTTGATATTCGTTGATTAATATTCTGATTTCGTGTTATATCATAGTATTTCTACAACAGCACAACTGGCCAGTATTTATATTGGAGTAGTGAAACCAATTCTTACGTTCCCGTATCTAATACTGGGTAATTATAACAATGATAAATATATTCTATTTCTATCATTTGGCTCTCGTTAACAAATATAAAAATAAATCTGTTCTCTAGAGATACTAAGGATACGGCCTCTAAAGCTGGTGGTGATGCTGAGATGGAAAAAGGTATATATGCTATACAAGTATGTGAATCTCTTTACTACTTTAGCTTGATTTCGCCAACTTGTATCTTATTATAGATAAATCATCCAAGATAAAAATCTCTTTCTCTGCCAAAAAGGTAGTATCAGTCGAATAGAAAATGCTGGACAAAGTAATTTATCACCGTAGACTATTATCTCAAAATAATTTGTACATAGGTTATGAAAGACATGGAACGTTGGGCGAAAACTTCTACTACATTTAAAGTACAACAACCCGACGAGGCTTCTGCCAAAAAGTCTAAAGGGTTCGTTCCTATCGGCTCAAAGCAGCCGGAGGCTTCTACTCATAACCAGACAGTACAGGCTATATTCGCCAATATTGCCTCGACAGCTAAAGATAATCTGGTTAGATACATGATTACGAATGATCTACTAAGCAATAATGAGTATATGTATTTCCTTTCACTTTAATGTTACGTATTTTAATTGCAGGCATCTCAGGAAGAAGTTCATAAAGCTGACGATATAGATATTGAATCCCGCGGTGCTGTAACTTATGGCAGCGGGGCGAGCTTAGATCTTCCTATGCTTGATTCTGTTGTGGTAACGCCAGAATCATTACTAGATTTAAATCGTTTTGCTTGTTTACTATGTCGACGGCAGTTTTCAAGTAAAGATACGCTAATGAAGCATGTAGAGTTATCAGGATTACACAAGGTGATGGTTTTACAAATTGGAAAATTATTCTATTTCAATTTTAATTTGTAACGGTTATGTTTATGTTTTTTCGTTTAGACAAATTTGAAAGCCCATAACGCTAAACTAGAAAATCAAGTTCGTTTTGTCTTTCGTAATCTTATGTCCAAATCCAAGGTTAAATTGATAATTAGTTTACGTGTATTTTAAATTGTGGTAGGAGTTACTCTATCGCGATCGTGCAAAAGAAAGAAGGCAACTGTACGGTCAACCGGATAAAGTAAAGGAAGGCCCTGGAAGGAAATCAAGGCAGCAGAACATAACGTAGGATATCATGGACGTACCAATGGAATTTTTATCATGATTCTCACACTAATCTACAAACTGTAAAACGTAATATACTTTAGAAAATATGAACAACCAACGAAACATGGCCTGACAGGATCAAATGTAGGGAATAAAATGTTGAAGGTACTGGCAAATTATTTGAATCTGTAAATAAATTTTTACGTCATACGTACGCTAAGCTGCTCATTTGCTTACTACATCAATTCTTGTCTCCGATATATTTTACTCTCGTAAGTGTATTATTTTTTCAATTCTAATATATGGATCCTTTCGTAGGCGATGGGTTGGTCAGAGGGTGAAGGCCTTGGAAGAGCGAACCAAGGGATTACAGCACCTATATCGGTACGCAAGACGGATAAAACGTTATACTGTAGTAATGCGAAACTCCGGTTAAGCTAAGCCATAAAAACTCTGCAAATATTTTTGCGTTCTTTCAACTTAATAGGCACAGGTAAGGTCTGCAACTGCTGGGTTAGGTGCAGATTGTAGTGACTATGGTGTATCGGCGGGGGACTCATATCAGGAGGCTCTCAAAAAATTGGTAAAGTGTTTTTAAATAGTAGATCGAAATGCTCTATTTGCCATATAGTAGTTAGGCTACGTACAATATACTGTTTAAGTATTGATCCTTTCATTCTGATTCGGTGGCTTGCTGTACCTCTACAGCGACGATGGTAGTAACAGATTTTCTATCATTATTTTGATTAGTCGAGGAAGCGATACGATACATTGGATGACTAGTTGATCCTAAAGATGGCTTCTTGTATTCCTCGCTACAAATCTAAGATTGCTTTGGCATATATAACTTTCGAAAAATCTATCCATTATTGTTAACTCCGTTTCTAAATGCATAAGTGCCGAGAATTATAAAACTTTTTTATTATGTATTTCCAAATTTATCTAATAGTTCTGTACGGGAATATACTTATATTTTGATGTTGATTTTACGCTCCTCATACATAATCAGTGTACCCTTTGACTATCTCAATATGTACAATGCATAAACAAATTAATTCATGTGATGTTGTACTTGTTCGTGAAAACGAATTTTTATGGATGTCGTATAAAACAACAAGTATTCCGGATAATTTAAACTTTTTTTATTATACGCTATCCTTATAAATCATTCTAGCTTCTAAAGTTTTTCAGTTAAATGATTATACAGATTTACTGATACAGCACTACATCATGTGATTAATTAAATAACAGTTAAATGATGTATAATTCTATCGATCTTCCTCGTTCGATAGTCCATCCAAGCTTGATTCGTTATCGGTTGAATCACAATCAGAAGATTCCTCTGATGAATCTTCACTTAAAACTGATTCACTACTGTGATCACTATAGTTATCCCGTACTGTTAGCGCCGCGTATTCTAGCAATTCGATATCCCATCCAGTAGCTGATTTAGTTATTGTTGCCTGTAAGTTAATAATGACTTGATACTAAATATTATTCAATTGCAGTTAATATAAGATGTTTAGTTAGTTATTCGAGTCCAACCTGATTTAGTTTTTTTGAAATGAACCGGATCTTAGCATTACTATAAAAAGAAATTATAACAACGATCGTCAAATTTTCGTATACAGTATTTCATGATCGTAAGGTATATGCACAAAGTATTATCACCAAATTTGAAAAATCTATTTCAGTTTTTAGCGCTTTATGAATAGATTAATATTAACTATATGCAGATAGTTGTGTATAAATTATGCCATGTATCTAACCTTAATTTTTGTATCCAAACGCAGTAATCAGTAATATAAACGTCATTTAGAATATACTTATTCTCGTGATTTTTAAGAATTTGTCGAATTTCTAATAAACATTTCAGAATATATCTTTTACCTGTTAAAAAAATGAATGAAAATACTCTGAAGGTACACACAATGCAAGGGTCTGCAGGATTATTATGATTTACATATAATATACGAATAAATTAATAGATGTAAGATCAGCAATTTTCCACAGCCTACCTAGTCGGAAAATAGTTGTTACATCCTTCAGAATAACTTGAATTAAATCCCAGTTTCTGTATAAAGGATAGCATAGAGCTCTTCTGCAGCATGCTATTAATACACTTTGAAATCGCTTGAAAACCTACGTTATAAATTTATATCATCTTTACAGTATTTCAAGCTTCGGTTGTCCACGATTAGTGGTATAATATCATGCCTCAAAGTAGTATAATTAAATTAAGGGAAGCTTAATGCGAATAATATAAGATTCCAATAATTACCTCCAGCCATGATAAAGACGAACTTATTTTACAAATTGTCCATGCAGATTCTACCTAAGAACGTTTCGATTTAATGATAATTCAACTTTAGGTGCAGAGCCCAGTGTATAAATAAACAATCACAAAGTGGAGGTACGATATAAATCATATAATTAAATCAATAGAATCATACATAAGTGTACTTAGTAAAAGCGTAAATTGCATTTAGATTACTTAAAATAAAAATTCAGGTGAGTAATGTGTATACTTTATTCTTCACTTACGGTATTTTCACCTTCGGTCGTACGGTAATTGTAAGCATATGCAAATATAATGTCGATTAAACCGAGTAGTAATTGATAGTCTTCTAATTTATCTAATAAATCTAAAATTGATAAATCAAAAAAGACAAATAATGGAATTAAGACATCTATGGCATTTAGTATTAATGAGATTTAATGATCGATTTAAAGCAGTATTTTGGCGAGTAATCAGAAATTAATTAAAGGTATACATATATTTACATTCTTTATTTGGTAATTCTCTCAGTTGCTGTTTTTCTTCATCTGAGAATAAATTCCACCTGTGGCAGAATAGGACACAGTTATACATATAAATACGATTTCTTAAAAGATATGATATTAATCTAATACATCAAATATAGTAGCAGCTTTAGAAAATCTTTGCAGCCTTACTTGGCACTGTAATCAATGTCTACTTCATCTTTATTCTTCTTAATATAGTATTAAAATCCAGAAAGTAATGATGGAAAGATATTCGTATTAGCCTATTACTACTAATTAAATCTTACATAGCCATTATCTATCAACACCATTTCTTCTACTAATCTTACATCATATGTGCTATCTATGATATCGCAAGCTTCTTGCCAAGGAGTTATAAATGCTATTAATTGCTTTATTTGTTCGTTCTCCATAAAGTCAGCACTTAGGGATGTAAGGCAAGATTAAAATTGAATCATTCGCTATTCCCCATATAATTACGTATAACGTTAGTGTTAAAAGCTACAAACAGATAATGATCCTCGTTAAAGTATTCATCTTCAGCAGCAATTCTTTCGGTTGATCTTTCAGCTGCAGTCATTCTTTCAGGTTCAGGAACATCGATAATATCAAACAAGTTTTCCTATGCAATAATGTACGATTTTTTTATTTATAGAAACTATCTTATAAGGTCAAAAAAGATTGAACTTAAATTTTTTCAATCATCTTTAAGAATTGGGTATGCAACTAACTTGTAAACAAGAAAAAACACCATTATAACGATTTGCGAATCCGTATTTTTGAGAAAAAAGCTCGTTTCGGGAATCGGTCTAGGAAGATCTCGTTAATTATTCATGTGTTGTATAAAATAGATTGTTAGGAGAATAGTTCTAATCGTAGCAATTACATCATTATCGGCTAATTTCTGCTCCAGTTGCCAGTCAAAATCGTCAACATCTATCTCTTTGCTATCCTCATCCGCTACAAAATCGTAATTAAATGAATACTTTAAGCCTATGGTGTCGTAAAAAATGAAGATGAATCTGTTGTTACCTGAATTAATTACTTCGATCAATGAGGGCTTGTACTTCTGTTGTTTAGGTTGTGCTAAAAGGGTCGTCAACAAGTCTAAACTTTCAAAATGCTCACCTTCATTTACTTTTGGTAAATTTATCGTACAAGTTCCTATATAGTATCATATATAGAAAGTATAATACATTATGTTCAAATATGAAAACATCTTTAGCGATAAAGATCTACGAGACCAATTTCAATGCCATTACTATAAACTGATGCAACCTATTTAGTAAGTATACAACAGTAGCAATACCTTGATCAATATCGTATGCTGCAGATTGTCTACTGTCTTCAACAACAGAGCCTGGTAAATTGAGCCTGGAAAATTATTTAATGATATGATTGCTTTCCATTATGTTACTACAAGTATTTTATCATACAGTCCACACTAGCTATGCAAGAAATAGAATCTGATACTTTACACATGTCGGTTATCGAATATGGAGAAGTACAGACTATAAAAGTAACAAGCCGTAAGAATATTTACTTTCTGTTCAGTTAACATACAGATGTATGAACACCGTTTGAAATTGATTTACTTTCCATCTTTCGTTTAGACTAATTGATGTATGTTTCGTATAACTAAGAGAAATTTTTTCATAATTACCTTAAGAAATATGGATGCATATGGAAAAGAAATTCAGTATCTTTTGCATAGATTTCCATATCTGCAACCTACAAAGTGGAATTATGTATATTTTATCATCTGTTTAGTCATTTTAGCTTTCATTTCAAACTGCCCCTGTAGTTATGTTTGATAAATTTGCTTTACCATTCCATACATTAGTAATTACAATCAAAGCTTATTCTTATACACTAGGTGCCAATAATGACTATTATAATAGGATATACATGCCGGCACAGCACAGCTTACTATTAAGGTATAACAAATATCAAACGGTCATGAAATGGATATGCTATTTATGCCAATATATTTTTTTTCCTATCATTAGCAATCGAGCATACATAATCTTATACATAGGGCTAGCGTATTCTTTCGTTAACACCTAAATTGTGGTGGTTGTCTCCAAATGGATCATTCCGCTAAAAATTACGACAGTCTATTAGTAATGAAGTCTAGATATCTTACGATTTAATAATATGAATTCGATAACTAGAAAACAAACTGATCGATTGCAAACCACTAAAGTCTATGGACAATCAGTATAGCCATATAATTTATTAACTCGCAAGGCATGCACCTTACGCATACATCTCTCATCCTATCATGTCCATAAAGCACTTAAGGGCTCCATGAAAGGTTAAATCATTTGATTGGCAATATTACAATCTACAGACTAGCAATCGAATCTATATGTCATATACAATGCTCATATTCTGTTGATTACTGTATAATTGTATGCAAGATAGATATCTTCTGACTCAATAATATAAATTCGATAACTAGAAAAAATTAGCTGATCGATTGCAGACTACTAGAGCCTATCGCCAATCAGTGCTGTATAGCCTTATCATTTAACTTTTTTTACTTGTGCTCAAGGCTAGCCTAGCACCTTACGTATCTCTCACCTTATGATAAGATACTTAAATGACTAAGATGAAAGATTTATCATTTGACTAAGATTATTACAATCGACTAGCAAATCGAATATAGATAATGCTCGTATTCTAGTGAATATAGTCGTACAGCTTAATTGATGAAGTATTCTTAGCACACTTTATTGTCGTACAGTATAAAATTTGACGATTACAATCAGCAAATATTTGGCATACCGTTACGTCTACTAGCAACCCAACATACGTGAATTTTACATACTATCTATATCATGCAAGCATCTCATTACTCACTTTTCCATAGGGTACTTTGATGGCAATGATGATGAATTGATCATTTTGTGATACCTCAAATTTTGGAGTTAACATCTTGGTAAAATGGAGAAGGATAGTATCCCGCGACCTCGATCCAATCCTGTTCTGCAACGACTTCCTAGGGTTTCGTCTAGTATTACGGTACTGCTACAGTCCTTGTACCCTGCATTCATGATGATGTAATCGCTATGAGTATACTGGTATGGTATCTAAGATACTATAGCTACACTGCAAAGACGCAGCGCAGCCTACTTTCTACTTGTCACTAGGTGCTCTGATACGAAATCCTCATATTTTCATGGTAAACATGGTAACTACTAACTACTATTGTACATTCCACCCAATCTCATCTTAATTTTATCAATCCAACAATTTATATTTTTAAATTAGCTACTCTAAACTAGTGCATGATGAACGATTGTAGAATAAACTTGCTACCTTGGTCAGTCAATAATTAAAATTGGTAAGACGAAACACAGGAATTATCAGCGTTGTTGGACGTCCACAAAGTGATCTGCCTAGATTTGCAAAATAAAAAGAAACTTTGCAGTTCAAGTCAGGTAGTGTAGCTGGTCTGTAGACGTACGCACTAATAGTTAGCAATTAAATCCTCAAGAATATGACCTCATCTTCTGCACTAAGATATCGAGGAGATTTTATGCCCAAGAAGAAATCAGGTAGCAACTCTTGTTAGTAATTTTTGCGTCCTTCATAACTTGCACATCTGGTAGCTACAAGATTCGTATTTGCTGATGGATCGCTGCACCATAGAATTTAGTAATCCATAGCTTACTGCATATGCAGATTGTATTTGTGTACATTATATGCAATTTATAAAAGGACAAGTATCTACAATAGATATGACTTAATCTCAACGTATTAAATATCAATTTATAGAAATTATCAGACGATGAGTCCTATTTGTAATTACTTAATGAGTGATTTCATAGAATTAGAGCAATGTAGAAAGTGGCAGCATTATTTGCTGTAAAAACTCTGTCATTAAGCAATAGAGATTTCTTTTAGATACGTATTGCCAATAGATGAGATATATGCATGCATACGCCAACATGATGTTGTATCAGCTTGTACTATTATAATTATTCAAAGTAGTGGATAGCTTTAGTCTGTTTATGAATATCTTATGAAATTATTATTTATTTAGGTAACAACCTATTGTATAGTGCTATATATCCTAAATCGAAGCACCATGAGCCTAAGAACTGATCAGGAAAAAACTGGCCTTCATCATTCCATAAGTGAGGACAAACTACTGCACGTTACCAAGGATCTGTATCGCTCTAAGGGTGTTAAATCATTACTGTTGTCATGTGAGATTTTGAATGAGCTACTATTGCATGATCCATGGACCCTACAGTTGGCTCGAAAGGATAAAACCTTGTTTACCTTTCTGAAAACAGCAGAATCTAAATTTATCGATCCTCCTTTACTCGGGCATCTAAGACTATCTTTGATGCTAATTGGTGCACCTGACAGTACCCATCGTGATGGTATTAAAATACTGGCAATTGATGGAGGAGGAATGAGGTAATTCGTAGTTGTATTGAAGTGCACTATTTCAGTATCACTTTTGCTAAATTAAGAAACATTACAAAAGTAGTGCAAGTAAATTACGCAATTTTATAATATTATACTTTGTATCCGTATATTATTCATTGATTATACCTCTGACATAGTTAAACCTGTTTACATTGCAATAGAGGCTTAGTTGCGATCGATATTTTGAAAAAGATTGAAGCTGAATGTGGCAAGCCTGCTTATCAATTGTTTGACTACATCTGTGGAACTAGCACGGGTGCTGTAATATCTTTTTTGCTTGGCTTGGTTCATCAGAGCGCGTCGAGTTGTGAAAATGACTATAAAAACTTAAGCAAGGCTATCTTTAAAAGAAATTTAGTCTTTGGGACTAGCATGCTGTTTTTAAATCAATCCTATTATGATACCGATATTCTAGAAAAGGCTATGAAGTAAATTGACAACCTCTTGTATTGTAGTAGATTATATTAAGAAAGAAATAAATATTATAAATACATAAATAATAATAATTATGTTTAGTAACGCTCGATGCTATCAGTTACTTACCTGTAAATATTGCAATTCTGAGCTAATACTTTGAATGTGTTGTGGAATTAGTAATTAATCAATAACTGTATGCGTAAACTACTACTAGTATTCTTGGCAAATCAGTTATTCAGTGTTAACATTGTACATTGCTTCAAGTATCAAAATCTGTACACTATACTTTTATGCATAAGATTATTTTAGATTTCAATCATTGCACTAAATTACGAAAATATGCTTGATTAACATGTCAACAGGCAGATACTGCTAATAATTTCATCTTTATATACACATAGAGAAAAAATGGGCTTCAAGCACCAGCTGATCCAAACAATATCTATTCCAAATACGCCAAAAGTAATAAAGCGCTAACATAACATTAATTCTTAGCTTTTGACGTCAGTTTGGTCACTAATCAAAATATTCTAATTTGTATTCGTACCGTAATATCTTTTCCTCAATTTGATAACCTGCGTAAAGGTTGCTGCAATTGCCACACATGTTAGTGGGCCTCGACCGGTTCCATTCGTTTTCCGAAATTATTGCCATAAACAAACTGCAATACCATATTATCCTGGTACTTATAATGTTCGTCCGTGGGAAGCTGTGCGCGCCTCGGCGGCTGCTCCTGGCTATTTTCAAGAATATAAAATTGGCAATAACGTATTCTTGGTATTAAACGAACTTATTGTTAAGATTAAGATGATTAAATCGAGATATGAGAGTCATCCTTTACTGTATTTCTTATACTCTGAAGATAACAATATAATGATTTGTATACTAATTAGGATGGTGGCCTAGTATCAAATAACCCTGCTGCAGTTGCACTACATGAGTGCAAGTTATTATGGCCAGATACTCCCATTAAATGTTTGGTCTCACTTGGTACCGGCTATTATTGTCCCTCTTCCGATCAAGAAGTCAAATTTGATGGTTCGCTAAGTAATAAGTTTAAAATAATTATCGACTCAGCTACGGATACTCTAAGTAAGATATTTTCATTTTAAATTTATCGATAAAAGAAGTCATTAAAGTAATTCTGTAATATGGATTTTATTTACATGGTCGATCTGGATTAGAAATTCATAACGTTTTAAAAGATATACTCCCAGCTGGAGCCTATTACCGTTTTAATCCACCACTGTCGAGGCAGGTTGCTATAAATGAGAGTCGAGAAGATTTTTTAAAGCAAATGCAAGAGGATACTCAATCTTACATAAAGAGAAAAGCGAATGAAATTGGCCGGGTTAACACTTTATTACAAGATAGATCAAAAAGAAGTATTATACGCTCGCTCTGGAAGTTTTTGCGACGTTAAGATTTTTCTATTAGTAGTGTATTTGTCAGTACTCGAGTTTTGAACTTTTGGTGGTCTTATATTTGTAAAAATAGGTACTGTACGTATATACTTGTATACGGGTATATATATTCTGTATACCGCAATATATACTTTATCCTATATTCATGAATTTAATTTAACCTATCGCACATTTAGCTTTCTCTCTTAAACTGTTATAAATTATACCATTACATTTAGTATATCTTTAAGGTATACGACGTACGACGGAAAATTTGATATGAAATCAATTGTTCGTAGCTATACATTATTATAAAATTATTTTCCTATTACAGGAGTAAATGCATTGAAAGCACAAGCTTGGATATCAGCTTGACGTTTTGCGCAACTAGCATAACTATTTATGTAGATATAGTAATATACGAGTATTTTATTGTAGTAAAATGGCTCTTACATGCTTTTGCAAGTAAAAGGTGGTAGTTGTACATCTTATTGACTAAATATTTGATCTCAAACCGAGTTCATTAGTACTGTTAAGATATACGCGTATATATTAATAATCTTCTCGATATCTTGAATTGATGTTACGATAGTACTCGTATGCTATTTTTTACCGCAATGCTTTATATAGTTTATTTATTTTCTTGAGGTAACCCTTAATAAGATTTGGTATTCGACTATACGAATTTTGTACTCAAAGAGTGAAGGGGTGGCGCGTTCGATCATAAATTATAATTTATCAGCTTTTTTAAATCATCAAGATTAATTTATACTATGACATATAACTGAATGTGTATCTACTCAATACTATCGCTAATAGCATTGTAGCTGAAGAATTAGCAGTTGGTAAGAATCGGCTCGATCCTCTCAAAATATGGACTGACTTGAAAACACATTATTCCATTGCCTTACGAATAATTAATGTATATTAAAAAGCTATTTTATAATTGCAATAATCAGGCAATTGCCTTTGGATACAGTGTGTAAATAGTGTTGCTCGTTTTCTTGCTACTATTACTACTGTATATGAGTTTGCTCACTCAGCTAGGGGAAACTTCTATGCTGCTTTGTACGCTGCAGTGTACGCGTATAGTAGGTCATACAGTATATTGATTGCTGAATCAGTAATAAGCACAAGGAGGTTCTTCTACAATACATACACCAGCATTTGGAGTATTTTAATCATTGGATGCTCTAAGCGAGATGGTAAGGAATGTAGCAACAACATAGCAGCGATCTAAGAATTGAAAACCTGAGAGAATGGAGAACTACTGAGAGCTGAGAGTCAAAAATAATTGACGTAAGTGCATCAACCACGTGATGTAAGAGTACATATGCGTACTGTATATTGCCTGAGTACTGTAGTAAAAGTACTGTACTGTACAGTACAGTACAGTACACAGTATAAAGTTACTGCTATAAACTACAGTATAAACATTGTAAAATTTTGTACTGTAGTACTACAGTATTTTTGGCGGCAGACTGCCGCAGGCATACTGTACACTGTACTGTACACTGTAGTCACATTACTCAGTGCTAAATGAACATCAGTTACAATCTACAGGTTTTATATGAAATGTCATACTAAATCTATATTGCCGTACAAGCAGTTCAATCCTCATTCTACAGTAGATCATAACGGTTTGAACCGAACCAAACCTTTCTCAGGTCTAATCCTCAATCTTGTACAGCGTTGTAATCAAAATACAGTAGTATCACTTAGTTTTTCTTCCAATGCATAAGACTGACAACGAGTATTGCAAGCAATTGGGAACTGCGCTCAAGAAGCCATTAATAAATGAATTCATTTAGCGCTGACAACTCTGACAGTTCAGTCTAGTGTACACTGTATACTGTAGTACTGTATCCGTACGTGACTGGAGTAAGTACAGTTTCTATTGGTTTCACGTTCTTCTGTACTGTAGTTTTTAACCCTACTGTCAGTACTGTACTGTACTGTACATCCTGCACAGTGTACAGTACAGCAAACTGAAGATGACTTGAAAAAGTACTGTACTGGTGAAGTTCGTACGGTAGATCAGCGGCTTCCAAGAGAATTTCTATTCTCATGTCCATGGCTGTAACTGTTACTGTAGTAGTACTTTTGACTTTGCCGTCTGAGGAGTGAGGAGGACCCAGTCATTTACCCGACTAGTTAGACTTTTCCAATCGAAAAGATGGCAGGTAGACTACCAAGAAGGATCTTAAAGGTAAGTAGTGTGCTATACAACCTGTAAACGACCATACCTACCTAAAATTTTACAAAATGACAACCACCATTGAATATTTCTTTCCTTTTTTTGCGGATATACATGCGGTAATAATTGTAGACCTACAGTACTTTCGCTTGACTCGGTGTCCAATGTTGCGTTTGCTCCAATGTCTTGACTAGTCTTGACTGCACTGTGGGCTAGCGTTTTAGCCTAGTGATCCCGTTGACGTTGGTAGTCTACAACATACCGTCGAGGTAAAAGAAAAAAAAAGCTTTTTCTTTTACTTCGATGGTCTACAACTCGTTGTTGTAAATAATAATTTACCTCAACTGTCTCCAAACTCCACCAATTGTATGGTATAACCTTGACTAAAGTACGCGATTATCACGGTTAACTTAAGGGTCTTTCCTTCTACCCCTTAGCCACGCTATGATAGTCTTGATAAGTTGAGGTTAGATGATAACGTAATTACGTATTTTAATTCATTACGAGTACTCATTCATGGAATGTACAGTATTAACATCTCTCTATTCTATCTTGGATAATTATGTTGAGCTCCATATTTATCGACTACGGTTTTGTGCTCAAATCTGTGATTCTTTACCTTTCTGTCAACTGGAATAATAGTCCATCCATCATCGTACGACTGCAGTACACTTGTCACTAAGAACGGAAGTGCAAAGGTGCCTTAGAGATTCGAGGAATGATTACGGAACGTGTCTGAACTTTAAAGACACTAATTTACACATCATCCTTTGCTATTCAAAGCATACCCATTTATAATAAATTTATTTGAATGATGTGACTGCGTCTCTCATATCAAACTGTATTAGTCCGCCTATAGAATGGATCTTGCTTGCCAAGATGTTACGATTTTTATACTATGATGCGAATCGGCAGAAGAAATGCTTATCTTCACTGCAGACGCTTGATAATGCAAGCTGATGTATGAAGGTAATTGCTGTACTGTAGTAGTATTAGACACTTTCGCCGTAAACTTTTTAGCATTCTGTAGTACGCTGCTATTTTATTGACGATTGTTATGGTGGTGCTTTGTTTCTCTGCCTAAGTGAAAATGACCGCTTAATCTTTTATCGAAGAAAGATCTATTACGCATTATGGTAATCTCTATTGGATTGACATTAACATAAATCTCAGTATACTGTACATCAACAATTTTATCTTTCAAATTTCTATCCAAACCGCAAATCTTCCATCATGTCTATTTATTCTTCAAGAGTACAATTACATTTTATGAGCCTAATTTTGCAGCCACGAAATTTTAATTACAATGCTAGTTCAACGCGATAAAATTCTCTCCTTTTACACGTATAACTAACGGTACAATGAATACCTGTGCGATAAGGTATGCCACTTCAGTGTCGTCTACTTGAAATAATCCTGGAATATACTGTATTAAAGGTTGAAAACATTTTTGAATAATTCTACGACACATCCTGAAGTGTACTACTCAACACGTTCAAATGAATTCTATAATAATCGTAAGCGACGTTTATGGATGCGACCGCTAACGTTTCTATAGTATGCACTTAATACGTAGTCTGCTAAAAATTACACTTCCTTTTTGAACTATCGTACTACGGTTGTAAAATTTACAATAACATTGTCTATAAAATGTTGGCTGTTATTCCAAATATTTTTCTATAAGATGCAAACAAATGAGCTAAAATTGTTGTCTTATGATATGTTGGCTGTTATTCCAAATATCTTTCTATAAGATACAAACAAATGAGCTAAAATTGTTGTCTTATGATTTGTAAATTCTATCATCTGCAGATTTAGAGATTTGCTCAAGTTTATAGCGCAATAAGTATTATTATTCAGGCTCTCGTGTAATAGCCATGATGAAGTTTTTGGGGGATTGCTTACTGAACTATTATACTGTTCATGTTTCAGTCAAGATTGCTAGATTGATCTATCACACCGATCCATGTACAATTGCACCTACTCTACTGTGTGCACTCCACTCATTCGTTGGTAATGAATGTTACATTTTATGCTTATCCTGTAGATATGTATACTGTCAATAGTATTATAAGCATGGACTGTCAATTATTATAACCAATTGAAAAATCTAGTACGGAAATAGGTCGCAACTTGTTAATATTTGAAAATTTCGCAAACTTGTATGTGAGTTTGTTGCTCGATGACTTTCCATTCCGTGCTGTACCAGTCCACAAAGTACAGTAGATACAGTACTGTACTGTACAGTGTACAGTAGAGTACAGTCGTACAGAGTCTCTGCTACAGTATTGTACTGTACTCCAAGTACCATATTGCCAACGGTCTAGCGCCTGTTACCAGGTACCGTACAGTACCGTATCGTTCAGTAAGCCTGGTCTATGTTACAGTAAGCAGATTTCCTGCGCGATGCACGATAACGAACTGGATAGTAAATCGAGGTAAAATGGAAGAAAAAAACAATTTTCTTCCTTTACCTCGATGGTGCCCAACTCTAAATTCAAATATCATCAGGCGATGATTGATTGGTACTACTTCACAGTCTATAGCAATTTTACACGATTATCATCACGCACGAAATGATCATGAATAAATAATAATACGCGTATAATAAATTAATTATGAGCACAATGTATGAATCAAAATTGGGCTATTTTTGTTGTTGTTATCCAGACGAGCGTGTACTACAGCAGTCTTGAATGGACGCCGATCACATTTTTGCAGCACACAGATGGAAAGATTTTTACTTTTTTTATTTGCAATACTGTACAGTACTTTATATAACTTGTTATTTTACTGATATTTAAATAGAAATGGGTAAAATACAGAATTAATTCTTAATTAGATGTGCTGATTGAAATACCTCTTTCATTTTCTTATTAATTTTCAATATTTTAAATGTAAGCATATTAATATAATTTGCATCGATGCATTGTTTCTCGCCAATGCAACAATTAAACTGACTTTCACATGATAGAATCTTCTATGTAGGACTTTGTTCCATTAGGAAAACTAATATTATCATTGAATTACTTCCGAAATATAAATAGGAAACTGAAAGGTTGCTTAATGAACCTGTTCCTGGAATTAAAGCTCTTCCTGATGAGCAAAATGCCCGATACTTTCACGTTGAAGTGAACGGTCCAAAAGATGTAGGGCAAACGATTTAATAAATCGATGAAATTTCTATAGCAATATTTTAATATAGAAGCTTTAAGCAGTCTAAAGAAATGAGTTTATAAACTACAGTAGATCAATCTTTCAGGTACTGAGGATTTGACTACAATAGGTCATAACTATGCAAACAAAGAATTATTAAATCACCTTACAGTATTAACTACCGCAACGAATTTATAGCTGCCAGTTCTAGTCTTTACACGAAATTTGCTTAAACAAATGGCCGCTCTCATGCAAATAAAAATCTTCATAGTTTTGATCAGCGAACTATTATATTTGTATTACTATAGTCACCCTTTGAAGGAGGATGTTTCAAGTTAGAACTTTTTCTACCAGAAGATTACCCTATGGCTGCACCAAAAGTCCGATTTGTAACCAGAATTTATCATCCTAATATTGACAAATTAGGCCGTATATGCTTAGATATTTTGAAAGGTAAGGCTTCGATGATTTTACCAATGAACAACAGGATTTCACCATTATTGTTATTTCGTCTTGACTTGTTAAACGTATCTGAGATATGTCGTATAATAGAATTACATATTATCTATTAAAGTATCTTCAATGCATAAAATAGACAAAAATATATATGTCCAAATCTTAGACCCTAGAGCAAGCTATGCATGGTAGTTAATGATTACATTTTTAAAGTTAAATGGAACTTCAAAAATCTTCGCAATGTCTATGATTAATTTCCAGTACGTTCGTGGTGCAACTGTAGTAACGTAGTATGTTATAAATCTTATAGCTTTAATTTTTTATCTTTTAAAAACATATCCATTTGCATAAAGTTACCATTCTTGCATTTTCAAACAGATAAATGGAGTCCAGCATTACAAATTCGTACCGTGTTGCTATCAATTCAGGCTTTACTTAGTGCTCCAAACCCTGATGATCCTCTAGCCAACGATGTAGCAGAGTTATGGAAATCGGACGAAGTGCGTGCCATCGAAACTGGTAAGGTCTTTTGGAGCTTATTACGATTTGTTTTAGTGCTATCTTTGCTGCTTCTAATTTGATATCATAATAAATTACAGTAACTCTAGTACTCTATAATTGTAGAAAGTAATTTCTTTGACGATTACATTACGGCTTGGTATGATTTTCAATTATCATAACTGCTATTACCCTGTACTAGTTTTACCGCAATTACAATATCGGTGTATTTTGTACTGCTTTCGCGTATACTCGAAATCGCTACTAACTTGCTACTTTAAAATCATAGCCAAGACATGGACACGACTATATGCTTTTAGCGAGGGTGTGAAAAGCTAACTGATAGGTCCTCGATAGTAATCAAGCAAGAAAGGAAGTAACAGAAAAAGTGTAACTAATAACTGTTATAGCCACTTTCCGATCGTAAACTATTCTTCGACCGAATGTATAAAACAATTACTTGTTTCAATAATTAAATCCTTGTCAGTTTTGCTTATATTAAATGTTAGGTTTTCTTGTACTATTATATTGACAATACTTCATTGGTCACAGGTTACAATCAATCAGCTTTCATGACCAGCATATATCCGAACGTGAATGTCGCGTTCTTAGTAGTTATGACAGATAGCAATTTTATGATAACTTTGTTACGTTACTGATTTCATTCACCATCACATCAACCACATTTTGTTAATTATATGTGATCTAATACCATGTATAGTGTTATGTTATAGGGCTACGGCTATTTACCACTTGCTTTTATTGTCGTTTGCTGTGTCACCAGAACTGAATCAAAAATTTTAGCGTATTAATGGCAATAAAGGTTCATCATACTATGCGTATTAATGAGATTCATACTAACGTATCAATAGTAGATCACATCGGAGAGAGAGACATTTAACGTTTCAACAGATAGAAGCAAAAGTTATCTGCTCGATAGAAATCATACTCGTAATTTAGCCGTTAGAAATGCACAGTATATCGTATTTTAAACGTTCATCCACTTTTTAAGCTACTACAATATTACAATTAACTAATAGATGAAATTATGATCTAATAAAAAATTCTTTTCTAAGATTATTACCTAGTTCAAGCTACATGTCATTCTAAGCTTTCTCGTAACTAGGCTAATACATATTAAACGTAAATGTGTAATACTAATGCGTTTAACTATACCACACTAATGTTATTTCCGTGTACATGTATCACACCGGCGAGGCGCACAGGACCACCAAAACAGGGTCAAAATCATTGCAATAACATATTTACGCGTAGGATGGCATACTCGTGAATATCTGCTTCAAGCCATTTATTTCAAATTTGAGACACTAAGAAAGAATTGCTATATAGCAGATACAGGAGTCTACAATTTATTCATATCAGCGTGAAGTACATTCGATAAACGAAAACGATAGTCAATTGATAATTTATTACTAGACTTCAGGATACTAACTGTAAAACAAAACGAATAAACTATTAAATTATAATGAACACATCCACCTACTTTTTTCATATAATTAAATAGTAGATTATGCGCATACTTGATTTATTGGGGATTTGTTTTATATCATCAGTAGCTATAGATATTTACTGGAGCAGCTGATGTAGTAAAAACTTGTATAATAATAATAATTTCGTAAAAATCTAATGGCAAGGTAATATTTAGCTTGGTTGAATACAGAGACTATCGGTCCTTATTGAGTGCTACAACCAAATGGCATAAGATACAGTAGAGTTGAAAAAATGTTTTATCATTAACTACTACAGACATTGGTAGCTGATATCGTGAAAAGAAATAACAGTGAATAACGAACTCGAGAGGTTATATAAATTGTGTACGTTCATAATAACTTTTCACTCCAACATACGTCCATAACCATAAAGGAAATAAATCTGCTGTAATTGTAGCAGTATAATTTTTCCCCATTCATGGAACGGATACAGTGCTAGTTATACGAAAATGGGGTGTGTACGTGACATGTACACTAGTAGTAGTAATTTTCTTAGTATCAATATATTACATGCCCTTTGATTTTAGATAGATTCGTCCTAAAATTAGGCTTAAAATACAATCACACCTTTTATTACTTCCTCAAGTATTCATAGTCATAAAATATTAACTGCTCAATTTAATATAAAAAATTAAATCTAGATTTAAGTAATATACCCATGACAAGAAGCAATCATCTGGGCGAAACGCTTTCGTTAGAAATTATTGTTTAAAAATGTTAAGGTTGGGATATTGTATTCTAGTAATTACTACAACAGATAAGATCTCTATTTCCTTAACACGTTAATATATTGCCAGAATACATGGTGCGCTTAGAATTGTCTTGCTAACAAGTACGCAAAGAGTGGAAGTATGCACATGAGTAGAACCGAAAAATGGGTTTTAGAAGCCGCACCGGTAGTAGTTTCGGTAAAACTATTTTGTAAGCGTTGATTGGTATGATATTTAACATATTTAGGGATGTCCATTTGTCCACTCTGCAAACAAAATAAAAATTATACCGTCATTATAATCTTACGTAGCTCAGCACTAGTAATTCTTATCATTATTGTAATTTATGCGAGTGTACTGTAATATTGAAAATAACTTTTTAGGGAAGACTAACCGGTTGAAGAAGGACATGATTACGAGCTGCACAATATTGTTGCGGCTTTACTGAATTATCCAGTTCGTAAAGGTTTTTTAGATGGATTCCTTTACCAATGGTAGAATTACGAATAACGTTCCAAGCATAAGGTGGTTTCGATGGATACTTATTATAAGGAGGCGTTAAGCCAGCTCTATATAATGAAGAACATATATTATGGATTGTTACTAGATTGTTTTAATATATGTATGAAAGAACTAATCATGTAATAAAGTTAATTTATCGGTAGATACTGGACTATATCAACATCAACAAATAGATCTACCCAGTAATTAAGGTTAGTCAGATAACAAAATTATTTTCATTCGCTGTACAGAATATGATGTAGATATAAAATATATAATAAAGCTATAGTTTGAATAATGGCGTTTGAAGATTTAAATAGCTGCAAAATATTAAATAACCTATAGAACAGCATAAACCTTCATTTTCACAATCATAAGGTTCTTATAATAGTTTACTGTAAAACAATGAACTTACTCTTTCAAAGTCTGGAAATAGTTGAGATAATGAATATAATTATTCGAGGAAAAGCAAACAGATAAGTCTACTTTTGGATAATACAGTAAGTAAGCCAAGCACATTTCGTCACGAGTAGCGATTCCACCCTGTTAATTAATATATTTAAAACTAGTTATTAAACTAGAAATACCTTAGCAGAAACGTTATGTTGTAAGAAGTTTTTTATAGAATCAGACAAAAATGATGTAATACATTTCACTGTATCAAATAAAATAATTTTAAGCAACACAACGATATTTATTCAATAGCTTATTGTAAATTTCTGTTTGACGAGTGATTGCTGCATAGAAATAACGAATAAACGAATAAGTTACTGAGTAAAATCTTAAAAACTTACCACTGTGACCTTGGGTCTCTTTGCGGTGTTATAAGTACAGATTAAAGTCAATTGATCGCCCTAAATTTATCGGATATACCCAAATATTATGAGGTTAATTTTATGGAAAAAAATGTATATTATAGAATGTTACTGATAAGGAAAAATAGGAACATCGAAAAATGAGGTAATGGTAACAATTAATTTCATATTCAAATAACAAATTCATTACTGTTACAAAATTAATCTTCTTACCGGCAAAAAGGTTACTTCTTTCTTCAAGAAACTAGTTTCTTGATAGTTGAAATCATAATGTCGATTGCTAAGCATTTCTGGAAGTTCAACTCCATTACGGTAATGTTTAGTCACGATAGAATAGCCTATAGTAAGAATTGCAAGAGATTAGATCAATATTCGGCAAAGGCTTGCAATCTTTACGTTGATTTTGCATTATCAAGATTAATATATCACACCTTTATTAGTGTAATATACACTGATATAGATATTCTGCGATATCTTTTGGAATTACTATAAGTAGCTTACGATATCCTATTATCTAATTATTTATAATTTACCGGCTAAATGAGTATGTAAAAAGCCGCCGAAGAATTTAATACCAGTAGAGGGTAAATTCTATAGAAGAGAGAAAAGCACCTTATCAGATTAAACACGTATTTCCCCTAAAATTATCTACAGAATTTATACTATACATATATACAGAAATAGATTTATTTTGGGATCGACATGAGATTTTGATCTTGTATCTTCTTGATATTAACTACCTAATATAATATTACTTACAGGCCTTGTGCAGTTCTCAGAACAGTAGCCAGCAACTTCCCACTGAGTTTGGCCTTCAGGTATGACCATAAAAGGGCTAGTTGCTTGACCAATTTCAAAAACGCCAGCATCATATTGGCGCAGTTGATGCGTATAGTAGAATCTCATACCGGAAGAATCGCGAAGTCCTAACTCGTGATATTTTTAAGATATATGAGGAAGACTGTGTAGATTTTTGTAGATATTGCTAATTGCTTATATAAAATGTTTACAGTAGCCGCCTCCTTCCGTGATATCTAAAGTATCCATTATACTTTAAACTATATTTAGGTTGGTAATCTGTAGTTCATTAATCATGAACTTAATGACATCAGATTTAGTATGTGATCATGTTTAATCTAAAGATCAAAAATATCCACTTTTTCACAATCATACATTATAAAACGTATAGGTGTAACATACTAATAGCAATTTATACACATCATTATTAATTTATATTACTGTATTATAAATTTCTGTGCCGAAAGTTAATTTCCGTATTCATTGATTTGATGGTACAAATAGGATATTAGTAGTAGTTAATTTTTGACTTACCGGCTTCTCGATTAGGATTGTCATAATGTGTTTCCATAACAACATATCGTGCACCTTTATCGCCTCCAAGTGGTAGGCCGACATGGGCTGGGTAGGATAATCCCTATACAGATCAAACAACTAGTTTAAGATTTTACTTACGTTAGCAGAAATATCCTATTAGGGCAGTACGGTAAGAAACAAATTTATACATCTGTTCAATCAACAGATTAGTGAGACTGTCCAGAGTCTGTAAGATTATAGCAATCGCTCCCTGCAACCTCTTATAAGCATACCTCAGCACCAACTGCCCATGCACCAATAACGGTTGCACCGCGGCAACCACGTAATCCTTGGGGCATGTTTCGGGAATCACAGTCGTGACTTGAACCGTGAAATTTTTCATCAAATACACAATCGTATACCAAGATGTGATGAACTAATCCACTGTGCCCTTTCTGAATGATAGGGTCAATCTAATACGAAAGAAGCATAATTTTTTATGATAAAATAACATCCAATAGATTAGCAACTACGGTAATTGAATTGTGATCACCCGCTGAAACCATGCGATCGTTTATTAAAACAATTAATAATCAATAACACTCAATTATAGGATGATAGCAACTAATTTAATGTACGAGTTTGTTTAAAGTATTATACTCCTTACCTTAATCATATGAGCGGTACCATTTACTTCAGGGAGCTTAAAAGCTGTGCACCAATAGGTTGTATCACCACTAGGAATAGCAACCTAGTTGGAATAAAAATAATACCTTAATTACATTATCGCCTATTTACCAATAGACAACAGAAGCAGTTAATCTAACGTGCGTAATTTTTATTGAATTCAACAATTGCTAATGAATAATGACTATTGCAATAATTTATAAACCAAATAGAACTATCGAAGAAAGTTTTACGATGATTAAATTTACTTAACTTACGTCGGGATTTAAAAGATCGAAATATTGTGTATCGGAGGGCAAAGGTGGCTTATCGGCTTCAGGTAGTGAGTTGAATAAATTAACACTACGACTGCCCTGTTTAGTATGTTTCGTAAAAGTTTGTGGGTCGACAGGATCATTGTCATTGTACGCCCAGATTAATCGAGTAGTTCCAGTCTGTTTTAATTATAAATGATATTACTTATCAAATTTAATTATTAGATTTAAGATCCTTTAAACAAAACAATGTTAGTGCAATTAGCGATAACGTTTACCTTAATAAAATTTTATTACAATAATTTTACACAAATTGGATAAATTTATGCTGGAAAATTGTTATAGTGATACTTAATTGGTACATACGTCTATCAACAAATCTTTACTATCGCCAGTATCATATTTTCTTGAAAATTTTAAAATAGTCATGCCGTTGTTTTCTTCACCACTTATTAGAGTATAATCTTGTTGAGCATCAAGAACTGGTACGGTGTGCGATGGGGCAAATCGATCCTAGAAATTTGAAAAGAAGGTTAAAGTTAGCTTTTAACATTATTTAGATAGTAAGCTAAAAATAATCCGTAAACCCATAGTATTGAATCCTATTTAGCTTGTATTATTTAGTAATATTTTTAGTTCTCGTAACTTAGCAAATTCAGAAATATATAAATTTTGATGTACTTAGAACGGTCGTTATGATAGCAATTAAAATCGTACAATACCTGTAAGTATGTTTTTCCAGCACTATCTACCCAACCAATAACAGTATCTGAACCAGGCATCCTACCAGTGTAAGGAGAAATGCCAAAACCTACCCATCCAGTAGTTTTAACTGTAACAGCTATATTGATAACTTTTGTTGCATCATTGAGTGTCCAATATAGGTAATATTTTTCATCCTCGTCTAAAGAAATCATATGATCGTAGCTTTCTTTTAAGCTAACAGCAGCAACAGTACTGCAAGCAAAAGCGAAGAGGAGCGCAAGGTACAAGCGCATCTTTCTTTAATTAATAATTCCCCTGAATTTATAGATAGAATGGTGAGATAGCATCAATAATACAATTTAAAATGGTGTCGAATATTAAATATGGTTAGTTAAAACTACTATTAGATTAACTTACGATTTATTTAAAGAATGAGCTAAATATTAAGTGATTATAGATTCACGTTGATATTGGCGTCAACATAGATGACTAGATGAAAAAAGTAGCCCGTTACCGGTATTTATAGTTTCTGAAAAATTAAGCCATGGCATTAAGTATCAGATGATCATTCGGTATAAGTTTACATAGTAGTCATGATTCTATTGGTTGAAATATTAATTTAATTCAACATTGCTAATTAAAATAGCATAGATAGTATCTATTCAATGAGAAAATAATTAATGTGTCTAAAGTATTTTAAATATGGTTTGAAATCAGTAGCATGCCGTAAACACCTGGGATACTATTGTTCTACTTTAAACAATTACTGTATGAAATTGACAAAGTTGCTTAGATTGACCTTTTAAATCCAAAGCTAGTCTTCTACTTTAATATTGACAAAAGCAAGGAAAAAATAAAGCTCTTATTTCTATAAATTAGTATAGAATTATAGAATTACAGAGTTCGAATTACAATGACATAAGCATAAATTAATGCTTTCATTATTTAAGTAAATGGACAATATGAAAGGTTGATTATAATGGATGCAAAACGAGTACTACTAGAGTTTTGTATAAGAATGACATCATCACACATCACGAATCTATCACAAGATCATTTAATGTAGCAGATTGAGAAAATGATCCTATATTTATTGCAGGTTGTTATTGCATTAATATCAATTAATAATGAAATGGTATTACTGTATTAAGACAAATAGTTCTACACTACATCTATCACTGTATTTTCTAACATGCAACTACTGTCATTAGCTAAAATCATTTCAAGTGGACATCGTAAACTTAATTTTTGAGTTGTAATGGATTTTATCGCGCTTAAAGTAAATGATTCCAGACACTAATCCCGTTACTTTGCCGATCATTCCAGATCATAGTCCGATCTGGGTGGGATCACCCGCCTAAAAGACTATCATTGTTTAAGCTAACATGCTATTGATGTCAACCGCATTCGGGCTACCTCGTTGCTAGGTTACGAGCTCACCCATTAGATCAACAATTTTGTTTTCTTCAATCGATGGAATATGTTACCATTATTGCATATTTGCTATGCAAGTAAATTAAATATTTTAAGTTCTTTAGAGCTTGAGACTGCCTATGACCATTTGACGGGTAGCTGTTGTCAAGTACTATCCTTATTGGATTATTTAGAACTAAAATGATTGCTCATGATATTGCTGATGGACCGGCAATATCATTCATTTAGCTGGCATTAAATAAACGCTATTATTTTTTTTATATCTAGAGTTCAATAAAGTGCTTATGGATTTCTGAAGTATAAATTTTTACTATATTATTTTCACACCGGAAATTACACTGAGTAAGCTATTTGAGCCGCGCCTAGTTAGCTGCGATAGTTTTAAAATCCGTTTTTTCTGCATTCGAGTATCAATGGTCTTCAATTATTATATTTTTAACGACGCCAATCAAAGAATTAATTAACAGTAGCTTAATATGACAGCAAGAGGGAAGATACCTAGTAGGATCAGATCAAACATTGATAGCTAAAATATTCATGTAAAGTTACTATTAGCGAAAGTTTAATCTCTGTAGCTAATTTTTTGATTCGAATATCTTAAGATTCTAAAGCTAAAAAGTATATTCTGCTAATCTTGGTGATACATCAATATTATTTCATTCAATCTAGAATCTAATACGCTGATAAACATATTTTGATTGAATACTTTCCGAAATTACTGAAATTAAATAGCTGTGGTAAACAAAATATCAGCTCTGCATGCTTTCACTACTTTTTCTTAGCTCATTCCAGTGTAATACTTTGAAAGGACCAGCAAGGCCTATTGTCATAGCAAGAACTCACTAATTAATCTGACAAATTAGATAACGCTACTATTGAAGATATTGGTAGGCAATTAAATAGCTGCTATCGTTATCTGCTATAAAAAATTCTCTGCCAGTTGTGACCAGGTTAGCAAGATCTAGTCCAATAATCCTACTTGAAAATAAGTTTACATAAAACTAACAAAAGTGAACTGCCTGAATTCTTTACGTACTTTAAATCTGTAAATTTTCCTAGCTTTTAATATTGTATTAGTTTAGCTACATTGGTGACTTCGTATGTTGTCCTAGCCACACTACAAAATATTGAAAAGTTCTTTTTAATAGTCGACTATAGCTTACACTACGTGCGGTAGAAAACTGAAGATATACCAGTACTCTACGAGTATGATAACTGTGATTTATTTTAGGTCTTGCATAATATCTAAGGCTACTTTAAATTAATTTCGTTCGAGCCAGCCACAATATATAATCGATACGTTCTACATGTATGATTATTAACTCAGTGAAAAATTCTCCTTAATTACAATAAAGAAATTGGCTAAAATTTGAGTGGAAACATGCTTTTGCAATTATCAATCTCATTAAAAATGATAAATTAGAAATGCATCATTTTAAAGATGAATTTTTTGTATGTGATATCGTCACATTTTATTTTGTTTCTAGCTATGATAGCTGTAAGCTAGGAGTTTAAATAAAGTAAACGCTCAAAATAATTTATTTTACTAAGTTAATGCGTACATCATTTTTTGTAATTAGATAAATTTTTGTCATAAGAATAAGCTGTTTCACAGGTATTTGAACATATACAATTACGTATAATAAATTTATTACCATTATGAAATTCTCTATGATTATCAGATTGATAAGGATTAGATAGGTGGAGTTAGAATTATTCTTTCATTACGATGATTACAATTTAACTTGATTAATAGAGTTTGGAATGGAACGTCTCCCGTATTAACACTCGAAATGCTATTTCAGTATCTCTTTCCTATTAATATCATGCAATTCCGCTAGATAAAGTTAAATAACCTGATTTTTAATGTCTAAATTCATGTATGAAATGCCCAAATTTTTTACAATATTCTCTAACTACGAAAGTAGGTGTCCTCATCTATATACATAAAGTAGAAACCCATTTTTTTGTGATAGTATCACAGCCAAACGGAGAAAGGGAGGGGATAACTATGCATACCTTCAAAATAAGCACTAAGCGTAGATGGTCCTCGTCGACTTTAAAACAGCGAAAGAACTTTGATAAGAAAGTTTCAACCTCTAAACTGCTAAATTCTATAACCTTCTCTATTATATCGTATAAGTTTGAATACAATCCACATTTTTATTCGTTCGATTGTCATTACCAAAGTGTAACTGAAAATAAAGCATTATATTTTAATTCTTGCTAAAAAAATTCTCGATAGTTTACATACTTACTATATCTGCATTACGTTGCGAGCACAGACTTGATTTCAATATCTGATATCGTAGACATTAATCATAGCTCTTCATCGTTACTATCTAACTATATGTAATTTCGCACTTATTGCCATAAAAATTCTTTCACAGCTTACGGTACTATGTGTTTATAAGTGTATTGCACTACGGTTGAAAATTTTATTTCATATCTTCTTATTACAAAAATTCATGATAGCTCGTAGTATTACTTATATATTAATAGCCCATGTATGGTTTCAGAAGTACCCTAGCAATTTATTTCATACCTAGCTACTATAAAAATTCATTACAGTTCGTGAATTGGTGCAATGCAATAGGCCTTAATTTAGGTAAAGAGACTTGTTTATAACTTTTTACCATAGAAATTCATTCTGCTAAAGTTCTATTATAGGAAAAGGTAATTCTATTCTTACCGTTGTCTTTATTGGCCTATAATTAATTAATCATATGGGATTTAGTCTGGTATTATGTGATCTGTGCTGACTAAGGTAACTTAGGTTATGTATTAGCATAAAGTAATATTCATGTTTATTGCCGATCTTAGTCTCTTTCTGTAATACTAGCAAAAAAACGATTATACTGTAGAAACTGCAACAATAAACTCCGATACAGGCAAATCGTATTGATATCATGTATAAAATGATATTAAATTTAGACCATTACAAGAGACTATAAGAGTTAAACGCTACAACTTTAAAATTAGGTTGCTTAAAGTTGACGTTCTCCATGCTGCTTGTACCGATATTGTTAGAGAGATAAAAATTTGTATTCAATATAGTAATACTTGAAAATTTGGGAGCTGAATCACTTAAGTTTTATATTGAATATTTAAACATTAGGAATAATTATTATGTAGATGAGCGGATATAGATAGATTTTATGCCTGATATTCAAATGCACTTTTTAGCAAGAAAATGCATGCAGGTGTATGTGCTCGTAACATGAGTCTAGTAGAAAGCAGTCTACTTTAAGTCATGATCATCAGAACGGAATGTTATAATATCACAATTGCCTTTAATTCGATTCTGTTCACACGTTAAAACTAACCTCATTTCATATTTAATATAGTTACTCTATCGAATTTTCACTGCAGTT